CAAACCTTCTGGACCATGGCATGAGCCCATTGACAACATATCGAACACTTTTGTACCATATCTCTTCTTTTTTGCTACTATCACAACATAATACACAGAAGTCATTTTTATCTGACACTAAATTATCCAACTCATCATCATCTCACAGTTCATTTTTTGAAATATCTTCGGAGCTGCTGTCTTTAAAAATCTTCCTTTTTGTACCATTTTTCAATTTCTTGGATTTCTGTTTGGCTTCTGCTTCTTCCAGTTCCTATCCGTTTCGGATGTTGGAAATCATATTGGCAATCATAACCTTGCTCGCTGCGGCTCGAAACAGCTCCGTTGAGGTTTTCTTAAACCATGTTCTTAAATTCCGCAGCCATGATATTCTCCTTCTACCGGGTCCCGCTTACCTTTGACTTTACCTTGCAATATAGACTGTAGCAGGGAGTAACGGTGCTGATTTCTCATAACGTGTCCCAGATATTGCAATTTTATGCGTTTGATCGTAAACACAATCTTTGGTTCCTTCTTCATTTTTCCTAGAACTTCCTTGTTCGTGATCATTGCTGTCCATGATATTCTCAGCATTCTTCTATAAAGCCACATCTCAAATGCTTCAAGTTTTTTAATAGTGGCGTCTGTAAGCGTCCATGCCTCCGCCCTGTACAACAACACAGAGAAAACATAGCATCTCAAATGTCTCATTTTTGTATCAAGGGATATGTTGTGACTTTTGAAGATGGCGCTCATTTTGTTAAAGACCGTTCTTGCCTTTCCTATGCGGCACTTTATTTCCTGTAAATTGCTCCACTGTTCGTTAATAATAGTTCCCAGGTAACAATACTGTTTTACTCGCTCTATCTGCGTCCCATTAATGTATATATGAGCCCCATTTATATTCTCCTTGCTGATAATCATTTGTTTCGTTTTGTGGGTATTAATGTTTAGTCCGTACTGTTGACTGTACTCGTTTATTCTGTCCATTAGCCTCTGAAGTCCCTCTAAACTATCTGCTATCACCATGGTGTCGTCGGCATATCTAACATTGTTTACTCTTTCACCATTTAGAAGGATGCCTTCGTCTATTCCGTAAAGAGCCTCGTTAAAAATGTTCTCTGAGTACATATTAAATATCAACGGCGATAGGATACATCCCTGTCTAACTCCACGTAGTATTTTTATGTTATCTGTTTCTTCTCCGTTAATTTTCATGTATGCGGTCTGATTCCAGTAGAGTTCTGAAATAATTCTGAGGTCTTTGTCATCCAGGTCTGCCTCTTTTAAAATGTTTATCATCTTTTGATGTTGAACTCTGTCAAATGCCTTTTCGTAGTCGATCAAGCACGCGTATACGTCGCAGTTAACGTCCCTGTATCTTTGAATCAGTACCTATCAGTACTCCAAAAGTGCCTCTCTGGTACCCACTGCGTTAATGAAGCCGAACTGTCTGTCCGATATTTGTTCCTCGCACTTCTTATAAATTCTTCCATGGATGACTCTAAGAAACAATTTCAACATGTGGCTCATTAGGCTGATTGTTCGATATTCTTCGCACTTTTTAGTCCCCTCTTTTTAGGTATCGCTAGGAATTCTGATTCTAGCCATTTATCAGGGATGATTCCTGTATTGTAAATTTTATTGAAGACAGCCGTGATCCAAATTATTCCTTCTTCCTCCAAGAGTTTTAAAAATTCAGCTTCGATATTATCAGGCCCTACAGCTTTCCTGCTTTTCATCCGTTTTATTGCTTCTTCTACCTCGGATTTAAGTATGTCCGGGCCCGTCATCCTCTCTGAAAATGGATGCCTATAATCCGTTCTTTGGTCTTGAAAAAGTGTCTCCAAATATATTCTCCATCTGTCTTTCATCTCTTGGGTGTCAATGATTAATTTTCCATTGATGTCTATGAGTTTCATTTGTGTTCGCTTTTTAAAAGTACCCGTTATTTCTTTTACCTTTTTGTGTACATTAAAATTGTCATGCTTGGCTTGTAGTCTTTCTATTTCTTTACATTTCTCTACAGCTTCTTTTTCTTTAGCTTCTCTTATTTTTCTTCTGATGTAATTCTGCATTTTTTTATACTCATCTTTATTTCCTTTAATTAACCTTCTGCGTTCCATTAAATGAAGGATTTCTGGAGTCATCCAAGATTTCTTCTTTATTTCTTTGTTTGGTTTTAGCAGATCTTGTTTAGTTTTCTTAATTATTTCTTCGAATTGATTGATTTCTCGTTGGATGTTATTTTCTTCTTTTAGTTGTTTTCTGTTTGGCACTTTGTCCATTTTGTCGCATGTTTAAACAATATTGCCTTTCTTTTTTTTTCTGGTTTTGTGGAAAGTCTTTTCAGTTATCAGAGACATGGGGAATCTAAAATTGGGAAATCTCATCTTTATCAACGTCTGTTTTACCTTGCAATTCTTAGAAGGCACAGATTAAAACAGAAATCTGAATTTGGTTTCGAAAATCAGTTTATGGATTTATTTATGAGATGTCGCTATGGCGTCCAGATCAAAACCATTTTATAGATTCTTCTTTTATGACAGAAAAGATTATTTTCACGTTCAGAGCGTTTGTGAAAAGCCACTCGGCAGATCCCTTTTAAGGATTCACAATAATTATTTTCTATTTTTTATAAGTTAAAACATACTTTTATATATCCTAAAAAATAGCTGAATTTATTGAAGAAATTACTAAGGAATGGTAAAATAGTTGACTGCAATATTTTCGCACTCTTACAAGAGTATTGGCGTCTATAATACTGAATATTGGTGGAGTGCAAGAACGTTAATAGTAATGATTTTTTTGTTGCCTGAGTGTCTCGGCATTACTTAAATTTGCTCGACATTAAAACATTCTAAATTTGACCGAATACGGTTCTGCACCGATCCGTTTTGGATTTTAACCTCAACATAAATTACTTCCATGTTAATTTTTTATATATTTTGTGTTTAGTTGAGATACTAGTCTTGTTTACACCAAAGTGTTATAAAGTCGTATAGGATATCTCTCTAGTGATGGAAATTATTTCTGGCAGAAATCAGGTACAAATAGCTTTTACAGGTGGTTAAAAACAACTGGTGAATGTGTAATCCTACAGACAAAATTTGTAATGAATGCGGGATTTCCTAGTATATGGTAATAACTTGCAAAATATGCTTTGTTTTGCTTAAATTTGCTGCTTTATGAATGTAAATACTCAAGGACAAAGTGGAAAAAGTACATCAAGTTTTTCTTTCAATGTGTTTTCGGTCTATGCATATGATTTATAAAGGTAATCACTAAATTTTGAAGGATTATGTTGATTGTTCGTTCATTTAAATGCATTGTTCAATATAGAACACTGAAAACTACTTTTCTGTTTGTCTCTGTCTTTTAGTGTGCGTTTTTTAATGGATCGCTACATATTTTTGTTAAGTTTTGTTAACTTTTGAGTTCTATTTGACTGATTAAATAAGAGTAAAATAATTTCGTGTAGATTATAACGACAGTTTTAGTTTTGAACTGTTTATAACAACATTGGATTACTAAAGCTATGGTTTGTTAGAACAGTGAGCGACGCATAACTCACAGCCAATCGAACGCCGCACACATTCGTCAAAATCAAAGAAATGGTTCTGTATGATAACGGTTGTTAGGTTCTGCTGAGCTGAGCGCACCGCAGAGCGATAGCCGTGTACGTCGACGGTGTCGCTGGAATCAACTGTGATTTGATTTAGAAAAGTCTAAAATCCCTGGAATTTTTGAAAAGTCTAAAAAGATTTGTAAATCCCTGGAAAGTCTAAAATAATCTTGAAATTTTTCCTCGTTTTGAAACAATCTTTCTTCTACTGTTAATTTAAAAAACACCTTCTGTATTAAGACATGAAAAAATTTCGTTTACATTTTTATTTCTTTTATTTACATTTAACGTTATCAACTCTTCTTCTTCCTCCTCTTCTTGGAGTAGTAAAATTATTGCATTAAGTTTTCGAGAATTCATTTTTTTAAATGTACAATCTTTGAGAGAATAAACTTGAAACCTATTTCTAAACTTGTTTTCAGAGAGACAGAATATTTATGCGAAATAATCTGACACCCAAAACTGCCGTGAGTCGAGTACAACAGATTCTGCTGTGCGCTGCGCACTGTTCTAACAAATCGTAGCTTTAATTGTGAGCCCCAGAGATTTCCAAATGTTTGACGTTTGACGAACCTTCAAATAGTAGATACTGCTTACTCTGTGTTTTAAAAATTTTATGGAGTATTATACTTTATTGGAGATTTGTATTACATCAGTGGGTAAAATTAAATGGTTAGTGATATTTCTTGTATACCAAAACACAAAGACGATCACTTTCAACTTTTGTAATTTATTGACAGACAAAATACAAAGTTCTCAGAGCAAATTCAATATTGTGCAATTCACACAGTTGTAATACATGATCTGTAAAGTGAGACGCCAAGTTGTCACCTATCATAACTTTTTTACCTTCCAGCCGTCTTGCGTGTTGTAATAATATGGTCTCAAACCAGTCTGTAAAATAATGTTACCACCATCCACCCATTTTTTGTTCGGTTATATCTAGCTCCTCTTGTGCAACATCCACTGCTACAACAAGGAGAGCCCTGTGGATCCCCTAATGTTCACGCACGCATTCCACATATGTGCTGCGATATATTATATAAGGAGGGAGTAGTCTGCCATCAGCACATAATTATTGATGTGGTGGCTTTACTATGAACAATTGAAATTAACAATTTAAGTTAATTTTTAAAACAGTTGTAAACTCTTAAATTTGTTTCAAATGCTCCACTTTTTGCTGATAGAAGAAAAAGTGGAAATTTACCGTTTTTTAAACTTAATTTGTTAATAACCAAATAAGTCCAAAAAAATCGACTGCAGGAAACATATAATATACAGAGTTCTATACTACTCAAAAACAACTGTCGTTTGCCTGGCCGGTTCAGTGTCACGAAAAAAACCTTATTTCCCTGGTTTATATAATCACCTCTAATCTTCTTTTCTTTTGTTACAGATTACAAATTTTAATTTCTTAATCTATCAACTCCTTGTTTGGCCTTGAACGACGAAATTAACGAAAAAGGCGGTTCGACATCGTCTTTTGGGAAACAGAGGATGAAGGATTTCTTTTATTTTTGTATTGCTGTATTTTTTTGCAATTTCCGACTCTCCAACGGACATTATACTCAACAATGGGCTGTGCATATCCAAGGAGGAAAGAACGTAGCTGACGAGGTAGCTAGAGACCATGGTTTCGTCAATCATGGAGTGGTGAGTAATTTTTTTAAACTGTGTTCAATTCTCACGTCACGTGTACAAATTTCCACGTTAGTCAATTTTACCAAGCGGTTCTAATCATATTTGATCAGTCACTGTAGATAATTGATCAATTTTCTGATATCTGTTAATACATATATTCGAATTGTTCGAGTTAAACTTAGTATTTATCACTACTCGGTCGTTTTGTTTTTGTCATTTTTCAGTGGCTTATAAATTACTAGTTGTGACATAAATTGCGTATTTTTATATTAGCCCAGTCTGGTTAAAAAAAAAAGATCAAAAAATGTTTAGCCAGATATCTGAAGCTTTTAAGACATAGGTGGGTGTTACTATAGCTTATTCCACGAATATACGACTGTTTTGGATTATTACGACAACGAATATTTTACTATGCAAGTAGAAGTATGAAAGTAAATTGGTCTAATCAGTATTCCAATAAAATGGATTTTACTGTTAGTTTGACACACTAAAATTATTTCAGTTAATATATGTTCAGATAGACGCAAAATTTATTGTGAAATTTAATCCGAAAATAACAAAAAATTTTACGCAAACGGTCCTACAAATAAATACAATAAGTTCTATGAAGCCAAAATCTGTTCATAAGACATTTGGGTTTGGGTTTCCGTGAAATGTAAAACACCAAACAGGCGTGCCGGGTTTCTTTGATATTACACTATTTTATTACTATATTAGGTACTACAACTGTAATAAAAAAAATATACTTTTAATATAAATGAAAAGAAATTGGCAGAACGATGGTTTGGAAACCAGAAAAAGGATCTATAATTTTACTTTGTTAGTTTTAAATATTTGTTTGATTTGAGTGGATGTACTATTAAAAGTTCCGAAAGTAAACGGGTATAAACATACCGACTATTGATAGTTGAAGTACCGAGTCGTTACAGATTTTAAAATGTAACGAACATTTATATACAGTTTCATATATCGCCGACTGATTTTAGTTTTAAAAACTGTCCGTATAGAAGTGTCCGATGAAGAAAGGTGCCGTTAAGAGAGAGTTTAGTGTAGTGTATTTGTTTATTGAAGCCAAAAACGCCGAGACGTGTTTTCGATGTAGACAACTTTGTATTTAATGTACTTTCCTATGGTGAATCCTATGGTGTCTAAGCAGGCCATTCACGTTCCGACTTGCGGTCCAACTTAGTAGTACTACTAGTTGGATATTCGTCTCCACTCATGCTCCGACTTGCTATCCAACTAGCGGTCCAACTTCAGTTCAACGTCAAATAAATTTAATTTCTAACTAATATTCAGGCTTATTTCCAATTAAAATAGTAAATTTGCAGAAGATTCCACAAGAATATAACTTCAGAAGAATATAAAGAAACAGCTATGTCTAATTTCAGTACAACTATGATTTAATTTTCGTTGTTTGTTGATAATTCTTCCGTAGCCAATCCGGAGTGTTGGAAATTGTACCTGTATGGGAATATCCGAAATATATCTACAGAAAGGAAAAATGATTTGCCCTAACAAAAAGGTACTTTTCGTGCAATTGTAAGTTTATTTTCTATTAAATATTTGCGAACTAGAGATCTTTGCGTAAAGTATTTCATAGAAATCTCATACGTAACAGGTGCCGAAGGTCAACTGACTGAGGAAATTTTCGATCCTCGATTGAAACTTATAGCTATAAAATTCATTCAATTTTTCGAAACTTACAGCCCTTCGAAACGAAGGTACTTTCGAAAGATCGACATAGAAAAGTGGAGGGGATAACTGTTTCAGCTTCGTTTTTTTTTCGACATCGGAACTTCAAATTGAAACGCGTAGGAAAAATTTACATTATCTCGGCTTCCATTGCAGCTGGAAGCCTCTTTTTTTTATTCTGGGGGTAGCTCGTCGAAATATGAATAACTACATAGTTTTCAACGGTAAAGCACCAGGTATAGACGATATAAACATGGAACTTATAAAATATGGTGGACATGAACTCAGACAAAAAATATACCAATTAATAAAAGTCATATGGGACGAAGAAAAGATGTCATACGAATGGTACAAAGGACAAATTATCACAATCCATAAAAAAGGAGACCAACAAATGTGTAATAATTATAGAGGACTGACATTATTAAACACAGCGTATAAAATCATATTATGTATAAAATGGGAGCCAATACAGAACCCTGAGGTACTCCTGCTGTAGGAGTGAATGAATCTGAGAAACAACCCCGCTCCTTAACCCTTACAAGACGATCAGAGACATATTAGTGAATAAGTCTGACGAAAATGAGAGGTAAGCCGATGTTCAGTAGTTTCTTGACCAGTCCCACATGCCAAACTTGGTCGAAGGCTTTTTGAACATCGAGGAAAATACCTAGTGAAACTTTGCCGTCGTTCAGACTTTGTGAGAGATGTGAGACGATTTCTGTCAATGCCGTATTGGTGGAGTACCCTTCTCTAAAGCCGAATTGAAATGAAGGAATGATGATGTGTTCGGTGGTAAAGTCAACTAGTCTTTTTTTAGGGTTTTCTCGAAGACTTTAGCCAGAACGTTTGTGAGTGAAATCGGCCTGTAAGAGTGCGGATCGGAGTGTTAGAGTGATACCAGTTTTATATGACGGGAAGTCTATCTTTTCATCAGCTATTCGTCATCTAGTAACCCCCACCTGTGTCTTAAAAGCTTCAGATATCGGCGAAAAATTTTGCCGTGAAATCGATGATTTTTGCATAACCAGACTGGGCTATATTGTTTACAAAGCAGGATATGATTTGGACCGAACCATCACTTTTAGAGCATTTCGAATTTTTATAGAAATTGAAATCGATATTATCAACAATAAACAAGTTATATTTGATATTCTCAATAATACAAACATTCATGAACGAAATACTCTTTTAAAGTATTAAAAACGAAATAATTTCGGTCGTGTTTTTAGTCTGGAATCGTGAAATAAATCCTCGTGAAATTTAAATAAAAATTCAACAAAGAGTTTAATCATTTTTAATTCCGACAATAATGGTTATTTTTTGTTTTATGTATGTGTCAGTTTCACTCTGAGGTGCAAATGAAAAAAATTCGTTTTAAACACAGGTCCGTCATAAGGAATGATTTCTATGTGTTTCGGCATATTTTACAATGAATTGTATGATGAGTGTATACGAGAAGGTAACGTGTTAACAGATTTAAGTCACACAAAAATCAAAGTTGAGTTAGGTCGTCCGCACATGAAGCTACTAAAAAGAAACCAGTTGGTAACTTTAGTTACCAATCAGTTGCTTATTAGTTACTGTCCATGTATTTTAATGAGCATCCGCACACAGCGCTACTAGTTAGTTAGTAACCGGTCTCTACTACCAGAGTTGCCAGATTGGGTATTTCTCCCCATTTTTGGGGTAATTTCAAAGAATCTGGGTAATTTTTATAAGCTGAAATTCATGGGGGATTTTTGGGGGGGAAATTGTGGCTGATTTTAGGGAATCATTAATAATTAAATTTGCGAATGTAGATAGAACCGACTTCATACATAAATAAATAATATACATATGTGGTTTTTTTAGTAGATACCTTTAAGGCAGCCAAAAAAAGGTACTTATCTAAATATTTTACAAAAATATAGGCCTTTAGTTTTAAAATATAGATCATTTTGTCACAGACCATCGTCGTGTGGTCATGTAAGTTTTAGAAATATGTACTTCCATAAGTCGGCTGTGGATTAAAGTCACGTTGGATGCAGAATATAGCCAAAACAGAAGGCTAAGAAATTTGGGAATTATTGAGTTAATAAAAGAACAAATGGGATTCAGACCCTCGTCGTCCCAATTCTACTCACAATCAATGCCGTCCGATTTTTCTAATCTTGTTTTTTAAATTTTTCATCATTTTAAAAAATCAATTTTTCAAACTATTTTTTAGCTACCCTAACCAAAATAAGTATTTTAATCTCATGTTTAGAACCAATACTATTATGTAACATTGATTAGAACTCATTATCCTTTTTCAGAGCAAAGCTATAAGTTTTTCGCCCTCCCTGAAAAATTACTTATTTGTGACTTAAGCTTGTTTTCATTTTACCTCCTCAAACATGAACTGTCTTTCTATATTTATCAAGCGAATAACATACACTGGTGACCGGTGAGAAGAGTACACTTCTACCCGAAGACATAATTTACGCGTATGGAACAGCAAGAAAGGGAAGACAGAACACCCAACGGATGTAATAGCGGACAATCAATTGGCGAGAAGGGAGTCGGATTGGCGTGTTACCAAAGATGGTACAGTTTTTATGAAATGGAAAGACCGAAGGGATGTTTTGTTTATAAGTAATTATCAAAATTCCTAACATATTGGAACAGTGTCTAGGAAGAGAAAAGATGGTACTATGGAGGACATTGTTTGTACAATACTAGTCAAGGACTATAATGCTAACATGGGTTTTGTTGACAAAATGGATATGTTAATGCTATGAAGTTGACAGAAAATTGAAGAAATGGTGGCACCGTATCTTTTTTTGGTATTTTTTGGACGTGTCGCTAGTAAACGCCTTTATTATTTCTAAAAGTAGATCCAATGGACAATCGCTCACGTTGAAGATATTTAGGTTAGTAGAGGACGCAAAAGAACTAATGACACTGAAGTAAACCACTTCAAGCGCACATAGGCCAAGAAACCAAGGAGATGTGAACTTTGCAGCACTCGAAAAGAACCACACAAGTCTTCCTGGAGCTGTTCAACATGTAATGTAGGACTGTGCCTTAATGACAAAAAAAATTAAAAAAATAATTCCGGCGTCAAAGGGTTAAATTTTTTACTATTAATAATTAGCTTAAATCGACCTATTTTAACCTACTAGGGTTAAACTATGGCCCATTCGTTAAAAGACACCCTGTATAAGAAATATTAGTTTCGCCCACTATTGGCTTAAGAATTCATATTTAGTATGAGCACTTAAAAAAAAACGAATGGTGTAAATCATACGAAAAAAACTGAGTTTCGAAAAAGTAATCTAATTTCATTTTATACAGTTATTCGAAAATCTCATTTTTCATTATTGCAAAAAATATATTATTTTTACACTAAAAGCTAATGCAAGTTTCTATTTTAGATTTTCGAAGATCATTATCATTTTTCTCACAATGACGTAGCTAAAAGGTCGTTAAGGCCTAATGTAGATAAACGAGTTAAACTCGATGTAGATACTAGAGTTACCTGGTCAAAACAACAAATAGCAAAAAGGAGAGTAAAAAGAGACTTAAAAGTACAAGATAGTGATCCAAAATGGCCATTCATGTGGTATCTAGTAAGTATATAATAAGCTGCATTCATTCAAAATGTTATATAATATATTTTTAGAATCGAGGAGGAGGACTAGACATGAATGTAATTCCTGCCTGGATAGAGGGAGTTACAGGAAAAGGGGCTGTTGTTACGATATTAGATGATGGTCTGGAAAAGGATCATCCTGACCTTGTACAAAATTATGTAAGTTACTATCATTATTTTAAGTTCGCATTGATTAATGACATTCTTGTATAACAGGATCCAATGGCTTCTTATGACGTGAATGGTCAAGACCCAGACCCAAGTCCTCGCTACGACATGATCGATTCGAATAGACACGGCACCAGATGTGCTGGTGAGGTAGCAGCTACCAGCAACAACTCTGTTTGTGCTCTAGGTGTTGCACACGGTGCTCAAGTCGGTGGAGTGAGAATGTTGGATGGTGAAGTAACAGACGCTGTTGAAGCTCGATCTCTTAGCTTAAATCCACATCACATCGATATATACAGTGCTTCATGGGGGCCTGACGATGATGGAAAGACTGTAGATGGACCTGGAGCACTTGCAACAAGAGCTTTCATCGAAGGCGTTACAAAGGTATTGTGTTTCTTATCAATTTATATCGTTTTTGAGATTCATTTTTAAAATATATCCATTAGAAACCAGAAATCTAAGATTATGATATATATATATAATATATATATATATATATATATTTATATATATATTATATATATATATATAATCGGTTTAAAACGTCTTCCGATGCCCAATCTCCATGCATCTCTATCTTCCCAAAGATCTTCGTCTAAACCTCTCTCTCGGATCTCTCTGTCTATTCCTTCTCTCCAGCTCTTTCTGGGTCGGCCTCTTTTTCTCTTTCCATGTGGTGACCAATCTATAATCTGTTTGGGCAGACGATGTTCTGACATTCTCTGCACGTGTCCATACCACTTTAGTTGTTTGTACTCTTATATCTTCGACAATCGTATGTGTGACTGAGATTATGATATTATATACCAAATAACGCAGCTACTCTGCAACAAAAAAATATGAAACAATAAAACACTGAAAACTTTGTTTTCAAACTTCCACAAAATTTATTTTAAATTATTATCACTACAGCTGTTTCGGCTGATTGCCTTTCTCAAGTGATCTATTTTGGCTTGGGTTTACAAATTTATAGTCTTTAATGAAAAAGGTTGAGGAGGGGAGAACTGTTTGTCTCAAGTTGGTCATTCAGAATTATATCTATGTTTTTTAATTTGTTGATTTCCATAGATTCTAACAAAGATAGCTTAAGGCCTTTATTTTGAATGTGAAGAATTTTAAATTTGTCGTTAAAAGAATGATTATGATCTAGAAGGTGAAGTGCTTATGTCGAATCTGTTTTAGAACAGAACAAAATCAATCCATAAATTTTTTAGATATAAAAATTAAACAACCATGACTTCTCCATATTTCATAAACCTACACATACTGACACGACTATACAGAATTCATCATCCCATCCAACACAACATAAACTGGCAGCTTATCATAGTATGTTACATAGATTTACAGAAATTCCGATGTCAAAATACAACTTTGAGACAGAATTAAATATAATTAAGCAAATAGCAGTAAACAACGGATACAACGAACAAACAATTAATAAAATGTTAAATCAAAAACTACACAAGAAAGCCCTAAAATTAGTGTTTTCACCACCTGAGAAAAAAACCTAGTACCTTCTGCTCGATTACATATACAGGCAAAATAACAACCAAAAATTGCCAAAACACATAAAAAAGAAAGGAATAACACCAGCTTTCCGAACAAATAACAACCTAGGCAAATATATTAAAAATAACAAGAGCCAAAATAAAAAACACTTAAATAGTGGTGTGTACAAACTTCAATGTGACGACTGCCCAAAAACTTACATCGGTCAAACTGGTAGAAACTTTGATAAACGAATAGCAGGACATAAAAGGGCTTTCAAGAATAGAAAAAAACAGATTCGACATACGCACTTCACCTTCTAGATCATAATCATTCTTTTAATGACAAATTTAAAATTCTTCACATTCAAAATAAAGGCCTTAAGCTATCTTTGTTAGAATCTATGGAAATCAACAAATTAAAAAACACAGATATAATTCTGAATGACCAACTTGAGACAAACAGTTCTCCCCTCCTCAACCTTTTTCATTAGAGACTATAAATTTGTAAAACCTAAGCCAAAATAGATCACTTGAGAAAGGCAATCAGCCGAAAAGCTGTAGTGATAATATTTAAATTAAATTTTGTGGAAGTTTTGAAAACAAAGTTTTCAGTGTTTTGTTGTTACGTAAAATAAATTTCCATCAAGTAACGGTCGAATTCCATCAATTATAAAAAAATATGAATATATTCTGTCACATAATACATACAAAACATATTTTTATCAGCCACATACAGCAGTTGACTTTTAAGGCTAGTAGACATTCCATTCTTTGACTAATCTACCTAAGTTAGCATCTAGATTTGCTCGGTATTGCTAGATAACTTACTAAATCACTGTTGAAGAGTGAAATGATGTTGTCTTATCGCCTATATTGTGTTTTAAGTAATAGTTTATACAAAATTTTTATATGTATTAATTATTTTTATAGGGCCGGAATGGTAAAGGCTCAATTTTTATTTGGGCATCCGGAAACGGCGGAAGAGACCACGATAACTGCAACTGCGATGGTTATACCAATTCCATATACAGCTTGTCCATTTCAAGTGTAACGGAGCACGGTCATGTTCCATGGTACAGTGAAGCCTGTAGCTCTACTTTGGCCTCAACGTATAGTAGCGGAGCTATGGGTGAAAAACAAGTAGTCACGACCGATCTCCGCCATTCATGTACTAGCAGCCACACTGGGACGAGCGCATCAGCCCCTCTAGCAGCTGGAATATGTGCTCTAGCTTTGGAAGCAAATCCGAATCTAACCTGGAGAGACATGCAACATATCGTAGTGAGGACGGCAAGGCCACAAAATTTGATCGCTCCTGACTGGAAAGTAAACGGCGTTGGTAGGCATGTTTCTCATAGCTTCGGATATGGATTGATGGATGCCTATGCTATGGTTCAACTGGCCAGGAACTGGACCACTGTCCCAGAACAACATAAATGTGAAATCACTGCTCAGCAAGTTCCAAAGTAAGTTTTTTTATTACTAAAAAAAGTATTTTTCTTTATCTATATGTATTAAAATTGAACCTTTAGAGGGATACCACCAAAAAGTATGGTGATTCTCCAACTTCAAGTGAAGGAATGCGAAGGCGTAGAAATCCTGGAACACGTTCAAGCAAAACTGACAATATTTTCGCAACGAAGGGGCGATTTAAACATCCAGTTGACTTCGCCTCAAGGAACAAAAGTGGTACTGTTGGCACACAGGCCCCACGATAATTCCAGGGCAGGATTTAACGAGTGGCCGTTCATGTCAGTGCACTCTTGGGGTGAATCACCGATTGGAACTTGGCAGTTGGAAATTCATAATGATGGCCGGATGTTGGGTAAGTTTTTACATTGTTTAGTAATAAGCAGATATTAATTGTAGCTGAACTCATTGTTATACAATTCTAGGTCGAACCTAAATCTGACTTTACTGTAACAAGCGATGATAACAAAATGTGTTTAGTAGTTTATGATATTGTGTATGTAGATTTGAGTCGTGTGAAAACTATCATTAATCATTATTTCAATTACTAACAGTACTAACAACAGCATATTGATTTCAGGCCGAGCGTCGATGCAAAACTGGAACCTCGTTTTATACGGGACGAGGTATTTCATGCCTAATTTGCCTAGCAATAACGAAAAAACGAACAATAAACATAGAAACGGTACAATCAAACGAAAAAACAAAAAGCACAAGAACAAGAATTTAAAAAAAGGTTTCGTCAGCACCAAACCACCAGGTGTCTTTAAACCAGAAGTGATCAAAAATCCGTCATTGAATAGTACAGTTCAAAACAATCTAAAAACCAAAAAGCCTGTGGTGACTGGCTCTGATGTATCGCCGTATTTTTACGCAGTATCGAACTATAACAACAACAAAGTTAGATTGGACCAAAATAGTGTGAAGCAATATTTAAAATACGTTAAAAACATTACAATAACGTATCCGGTAATGATTCCGGCTAGGAATGTCATTAAAAATTTCAGCACTCCCAAAAAATCGCAAAAATTAAAAGAAAAAAGTCGCGATATCAATTCGAACCGTAATTTGAAGTTGATTGTACCTAAAACTACTGAAATACCTCTAACCACGAAAGCTTTTAGCACTCACAAGGATAGTTCCGGTAATTTGCATGGTATTATCGTTTTTAGCTTACAAAACATCTTTATTTCGTTTTTGTTTTCTTCACAACACACTCGCGAAAGTTGGATCTTACTTTTTGATAAATATCTGTGCCCTTTTTAATCTAATTAAATTATTGAGCTAATTTAAGGTTTTTTATTCGGAGTCCGCTAAATTTTGTACATATTTCCTATTCAGAGCCTCTAAAAAACGAAGTTGAGAGATTGAAAAGATAACGTTGATAAAAAGGGAAATATACACTCAATACGATATTTTCTTTTCCTGCATTCTGTTTTTGGATGTACTCTTCCATTTTTTTTTTCGTCAATAATATTGTTCAGTACTTTATTTGAGTTTCATGTTATAATTTTCATGGTGCGTAATTCATATTGTTCACAACTTGTTCCCAACCATTTTCCTCTCTCCTAATCTGCTATTTCACTCACTCTCTTTCAGTTTTATTGAATTATTTAGTATCGAAAGAAATAACAATTCTTCTTCTTAAAGTGCCGTCTCCTCAATGGAGGTTGGCTACTACAATTTTAAACTCTTCTCTATCTTCAGCTGTTCTTATTAGCTGTTCAAAATTTAGCCCTGTCCATTGTCGGATGTTTCTGAGCCATGATAGTCTTTTCCTTCCTAGGCCTCTCTTTCCCTCGATTTTTCCTTTCACTATAAGTTGGGCATATTGGTACTTATTATTTCTCAGTATGTGGCCTAGGTATGATGTTTTTCTTACTTTTAACTGTGTTAAAAAGTTCTCTTTCCTTGCCTATTCTATGCAGCACTTCTTCGTTTGAGGTATGCGATGTCCATGAAATTTTGAGTATTCTCCGGTAGATCCACATTTCAAAGGCCTCCAATTTATTTACGGTTGATTTTTAAGGGTCCACGTTTCAACTGCATATAGAAGAGTCGACCAGACGTAGCATTTTGATAAACGTAGTCGAATTTCGAGTTTTATTCGAGAATCACAAAGCAGTTTTTTTATTTTTTCGAAAGATTTTCTAGCCTGTTCTATTCTCAATCTTATTTCTTGATCAGGATTTAGGCTGCTATCGATCCAACATCCCAGGTACTTAAATCTATTGACCTGTTCTAAGATGTGCCGATTTATTGTGCAAGGTTGAGGTACGTTTTGGTTTTTTCGGATTGACATCACTTTGGTTTTTTTAATGTTTATTTTCATACCAAATTGCTCACAGGTCGAGTTGGTCTTGTCGATGAGTCGTTGTAGACCTGAGTCGGAATCCGCAATTAACACTGCATCATCGGCGTATCTGATACTGTTGATATTTACGCCATTCACCTTGACTCCATCCTTGGAATCCTCCAATGCTTCTTTAAATAGAAATTCGGAGTAAAGATTAAACAGCAGAGGCGACAGAACACATCCCTCTCTAACTTCCCTCCTAATTTCTACTTCTGCGGATGTGGAACCTTCGATCCTAATTCTGGCTTTTTGGTTCCAGTACAAGTTTTTTAAGAATTTGATGTCTTTTCCATCTAAACCGACTTCTTGCAAACGTTCTAATAGTAGGTCGTGTCTGACTCTATCAAATGCTTTTTCGAAGTCTATAAAGCATATAAATATATCTTTCTGTTGGTCGTAGCATTTTTGGGCGAGAACTAGTAAACTGAACAGGGCTTCTCTCGTTCCCATGCCGGCTCTGAATCCAAACTGATCGTCTCCGATGATTGTTTCGCACTTTCTATAGATACGATTATGTACGATTTTTTAGTAGGACTTTTACTGCATGACTCATAAGGCTTATCAGACGGAACTCATTGCAGTATTGTGGGTTTGGCTTTTTTGGTAGTGGGATGAATATTGACTCCAGCCAATCTTGGGGTATTTTACCTGTATCATAAATGCGATTGAATAAAAGGACAAATAATTCGATATTTTCTTCGCTGATTAATTTGAACGTTTCTGGGTATATTCCGTCTGGACCTGGGCTTTTATTTGTTTTGAGATGATTAATTGCATTTATGATTTCAGATTTCAGAATTGTTGGCCCTTCGTTGTTATTTTCCAATCTTGGTTCTTCTCGTATGTCGTGAAAAAGAATTTTTAATATAGTTTTTCCCATTCTTTCAGTTTATCTTCCGTTGATTCTAGCAGTTTGTCATCCGTGTTCAGCATGGTGTGAAAAGTCGTTCTCTTGGTAGTCGATGTAAACTCTTTTACCTTTTCATGTAAATTTAAAAAATCGTGCCTTTGTTGCAGTTCTTCTTTTTCAACGCATTTTGTTTCCAGCCATTTCTCTTTTGCTTCGGTTATTTTTTTTCGAATTATTCTATTTAGTCTTTTGTATTCTCCTTCCTTGTCATTTTTTCCTTTAGATTCTCTCCGTTTGTTCATTAATTGTAAAATCTCTTCTGTCATCCATTCCTGTTTGTTATTTCTAGGTGTTACTTTTAGATGTTTTTCCGTTACATTGTTCATTTGTTCTTTAATAGTTTTCCACAGAACGGTTATGTCATCGTACTCGCTAATTCTATTGTGGTCGATATTTCCTAAATTTTTGTTTAATTCTTTATTTACTGTCTGATGTATGGTGTCGTTTTTCAATAATTGGATGTCTAATAGTTGGTGTTGAGGTTTTTGTTTCTTTATTAGTTTCCATCTTGCGCGAACTTTTGCAACAACAGGATTATGATCGGAATTGATGTCAGTTCCAGGATATGTTTTTGCACTGATGATTGCATTGTGATATCTTTTGTTGACCAATATGTAATCTATTTGGTTACGGATTATTCTGTTTTCATTGTGTTGTGGTGAAGTCCAAGTGTACAATCTGCGAGGGTGTAATTTAAACCATGTATTTGTCACTACCATGTTGTGTTGTTGGCAGAATTCGGTCATTCTCTTTCCCCTGTCGTTCTTTGCTCCAAGTCCGAAGTTTCCGATCAATCCAGAAACTTTTCCTCTACCTAACTTAGCATTAAAGTCACCTAAGATAAATGTTAGGTCTCGTTTTTTTGGTCATCTTTATTAGTTTTTCTACGTCAGCATACCACGCTTCTAGCTCTTCTATGGGTTTATCGGCCGTAGGGGCATAAGTTTGAATGATGTTAATATTTACTGGCTTTCCGGATAGTTGAATAAGAAAACATCGGTCCGAAAATGGCACAAAGTTTGTGACGGCATGGTTATATTTGTCTTCTAAAATTACTCCAACCCCGTTACGATGAACCGGATCGTTATTACCCGAGTAATAGAAAGTTTTGTTCATGGTTTTAACTTTACCTGAACCTGGCCATTTAACTTCACTCAAACCCAATATCTGCAACCCTAAACGTTTCATTTCGTGGCATGCATTTGCTAGTTTTCCTGTTTCGAACAGACTTCTAACGTTCCATGTTGCAATCTTAAAGTTTTTATTTAAAATATTTAGGCTATTCCTACAATATATAATATATATCCTATAATAACAATTATCTTTCCGTTTCTGATTCTTTTTCTTTTAGTTCTAGTAGATTCTATTGTACTATCGCTATAATATTCTTTAGGACTGTGTCTATATAATTTTTACCCATAGGTACTCCATTTAAAAATAATTATTGATTATTGACACAATTTTGCCTTGTACTATATTAGAAGTTTGTCGGAACGGTTATATTATTTTTATATTTTTCTGTTTTACAGTCTTGTATAAACACTGTTGTAATCTTCTGCCATAAAAACAGTGCGATCATGCATTTACAAAACAAGAATACTATTTATTCCATTCTTTTAGTAAACTATTTACCATTTTTTTCGGATCTTATCTTTGTGATGAATATATAGGGCGCAGATATTTTTTAGTTGGTAAAAGCGTGGTCAAAGTGAAGAATGAAAGAAATGGTAACAATTTGAATTGCACTCTACACTGGAAGGAATAAAATAATTATTCAGATCATTAGGGAACAATGTTTTTTCGTTAATATAGTGCCTGGAGTATTATAGCATGTTACCATTTCTTTCTTTTTATTTTTTTAAAGCATGTCTTGGCAAATAGTTATTCGTAGAGTTATTCGTATGGTTATTCGTAGCGTGGCTTTTATTGCGAGTACATTACCGTCGTAGCAATCAGTAACAGTACTAATATTTTTTTATACTGCACCGTGTGATTTGTTTTTATTTTAAGACATTTATTTTTAATTATTATGTAGTGTTAGTCCAATTTTTGAGACCAACGAGTCCGATGAACCTTTGCAGTTGTACTGCATAACCCACATCTTCTTGATGTTCCATGAAGAGGCAAATCAGCTACTCTATCGTATCTAACTTCAATAAGTACATATTTTTGAAACTATTTACTGCATGTTTTGGTCCCTTTTTTGGGGTATCTGTATTAGCACCAATAAGACCTGTAACAACGGCTAATCGGAATTCTTTCAATGATAATGCACGTCCTGGACTTCTCAATTTAAATATGATAAACGCATTAGTTACTGCTAAATCAAGTAAATGGAAAAAAATGCGATGTCACCATTTCTGACTTTTTCTATTTATTTCGTATAGACTCTTCAGCATATCTGCCTTATCCACCCCACCCATATATAGTATTTTACAACTGTTGGTGCAGCCACAATTTCTTTGGAACCATCCTTCTGTCTTCTTTCGACAGATACCATTTCAGTATGATCATGAAATTTGGACAAAAAGTTGATCCCCTTCTTATCTTTTAACCTAGTGAAGACCATTTTGGTCTACAATATCTTGTGGCAAATTAGCACGATCAGCTCTTACTGTACCACATGCGTAAATATTGTTCTCCAATAAATATTTATTTTTGTGAGATCTTTCACAAGACGTTCCGCAAAGGGTTAATGTTTCAACTTAGCTCATTTGTTTATCAATCTCGTCGCCAAATCTTTCTCTTCATAAACTACTTTTATGTGTCTCCATAGATTAATAGCCGAACTGAAGTTCCAAGTTTATAGGCTTCAGTCTACTGACTGGTTCGACACTATGTTGATACGTTGACACGGTTGGACTGACTCACAACAACTGCGTGTTAATAATTGGAGATATTTCTCGAGATTCCTGGGTGTTTTATTTAAAAATTTAAAAACTATTTGCACCCTGTACTTTAAAACTATTTGACATATCCTTGTCGTAGTTGGCATAAAGTGTAGGTACTATATTACCTACTAAATTATCACAGAAGTTAAAACACTTCACAAATGTGTATTTAGGTATAAAACAAACAAGTTAAAACTTTTTAAAAAAGTGTCGTCACATTTAAAGTTCTGGCAGAACGTTTTCGATCACTACGGATCATCTTCAGTGCCTAGTATTTGTTGCTAACAATATGGTGTCTATAAGACTTCCATGTTTGGGTTGGTAAAGTGTCACATTTTACATTAGACAATGTTGAAACTGTAGGTCGATGACAATGGATGTATTTAAAATTAAAAATTTACTTTAGGGACTACATGTCTCCTAAGCTCGAATACTTGCACTTTGTCAGTTGAAGCGACGACACAGACCAAAATCAAAATTAGTGGAATTTACCATTTGCTGCTACAGTGATTAGCGAATATTCTTGTGAGTTAACAGTGATTTCATATGCATCTAAGGGATTACATTCGGGTGTTCTAGGCGGCCACGAGTGTACAGTACCTACACTTCCTGCTACGTATGACAAGAATATGTCTAATAGTTTTAAAGGACTGGGTACAAATAGTTTTTCAATTTTTAGTGATTTGGGTTAACATTTAATATTTAGATCCCAGGAATCTACAATTAAAATATTTCCAATTATTAATTAAACATCCAGTACATAGAAAGAGGAACATAAATCACAAATCCAACTTCAAAGAACTGTATGTTCATTATAATTTCCTGGTGATTGAAAGGTTTGTGTTATATTCCAGTATATTACGAAAATTCTGCACATGTTCATAGTGTAGTCTAAGTTAATACCAGCTTTATTTTATCATTAAATTTTTCTTGATATTTTGTTTACCAAATCCGAAGTCAGTTTGTTATTTTTCACCGTCAAAATGATTCTGTATACTAAAATATTTGTTTCCATAGGTGAGGTCAGATACTGGCAGCTAAGTTTATATGGTACTGCGACGCCACCTGCAGCTGATAATCCATCGACCGGTGAAAGCACCAACACTATTCCTGATTCGTTCAGCGAAGATATCTTTCGCAATTCTATTTATAACTCTGTGGAAGCTGGAGCAGAGGTAAATCTCAATATACACACAATGCAAAAGTCTAAGGATATTTTAATAATTTGACAATACCAATGACAGACATTTCAATTAAATTTGCTTGTACTATAATTATTGTTGATGCAGACACTCACTTCTTATCAAAAAAAATTGTAAAAGTGATAGCAATACGTGTTTAAGAATGTTTTTTATAAGGACAAAAAAATCGATAATATTTTATGTTTTGTTTATTTTTAATTTTTGGTCACTTTATACCATTCTTGCTTAAATAGGTGAGTTACAGATATTTCTTTTCTCCTTCAAGCTGGTATGCGACAAACTCAAGTTGCTGACCAGCTGGGTGTCTCCCAAAGCGTCGTAAGTCGTTTGTGGCCTTGGTTTAGAGATACTGGGAGTCCAGCCGAGCAACATCCAGGACGTGGTCGCTCTCAAGACCGATATTTAATTTTAAATGCCAGAAAGCAGCCAACCATCACTGGACCCGAGCTGGTTAATGAATTACAGCTTGCACATAATGTAACAATTAGCAGCAGTACTGTGAGGAATCGTCTCCATGAAGCCAATCTTTGTAGTCCGCGACCACTGAGATGTCCACCTCTGTCTATAGACAATCGTGCTGCAAGATTAATCTGGTGTCAAGAGTTTCAGAATTTCAGAATTTTCTGTTTTCTGATGGTTTATTTAGTTCTTCCATTTCTGGGAGTTATTTTTCTAGGTGTTCTCTTTTCTTTCTGCGATGTATTTTCTTATCTTCCCTCCTCATCATTCTATATCCCTCCTCTGCCTTTCGTGTTCAATGTCGTTGTTGTAGTCGTTGATATGCATTATTTTTCCTCTGTTATATTACGACACTCTTCATCGAACTACTGTCCTTCAGTTGATTTGGGCTTTTTTTGTAGACCCAGAGTCTCTTTGGCCGTGTCTTGTATGATGTTTTTACACGCTTTCCATTCTCTGTTTATATCCTCGTGCTTGTGTCTATTTTCTAGCCTTCCTTTTATATATTCTTTGTATTTTGCATTTTTGCTGTTGTCTGCCAAGTTTTTTATTTCATATTTTTCAATTTTGGATCCCTTTTCTTTTTTAATGTTTGAGATTCTGGCTCTTATTCTACTTTCCACTCCACTAGATAGTGATCCGAGTCTGCATTTGTCCCTCTTCTGCTGCATACGTTTATTACGTCTGAGTGATGTCTAGAGTCAATAATAACATGATCGATCATGTTTACTGTGACCCCATCTGGAGATTTCCATGTTCCGTTATGAATATTTTTTTCGCTGTAAGCATGTGCTGGCAATGACCATGTTAAGGAAAGTTGCTAGATTTATTAGTCTGATGCCATTTTCATGGGATACCTCATGAAGGCTGTGCTTACCTATAGTTGGTAGGTATTGTTGCTCTTTTCCTATTGTTGCGTTGAGATCACCATAAATAATTTTGATGTCATTCTTTGGGCATGAATGGTATGCAGCTTCTAGTTCTTCATAGAATTTTTCCTTGACATCGTCTTCCTTTTCCTCTGTAGGGACATGCACATTTAAGGTCGTCGTCGTTTGATCAGTCCGGTTTTCTTTAATTGAACATTCGCAACATGTGTGTTTTCTAGGATAGGGTTGTTAGCCCTATGCCTAACCCCCTTTTCGGAGGACCATTTCTCCCTTCCTCGTCGGCTCTGACCCTACGTTTCACTGGGGTGGGTTACCCAATCTTCAAGGTGAGGATAGGAATTGAGTAGGAGAGGCTAGAGGTGTTATCAGGAAGCAACACCTTATATTGCGCATCACTACTCCTTATTTTAAGTTTATATTTTTTACATTGTATGGTGGTATGTGAAACATGGGTGATTTGCAATATATTTTTTTGCTCAAATTTTCTGCTTTTTTCGCAATTTATGGTTTTTGACATATTAAACAACAATTTAAACTACGAATTTTGTATAATTTTTCTTAAGTTTATTACAGATAAACAAAATACGTCTATTTATAGAAATATCCCTACACTTTTGCGTTTTGTGTACTTCAATATAATAAGCAAGTTTTGCTAATATTGCATAAACTTATCACTCCAAAATATTATATTGAGCCGCAAAATAACAAATTTGCTTTTGTTGCAGAATCGTAAGGATGTCCTAGAAGTGGAAGAAAAGGAAGCGTCAGGTTGTGCAAAAACTAAAGGCAATTTTTGTTTAGGTTTGTTATGTTTTGTTTCAATACTGTACTGTTACTCTCTCAATCTCCACGACATCTTAGCCATACTACTAACGTCCATAAGTTCATTAATAATCAACAGTAAAAGACGGAAAACTCCCGACGTAACAGTAAGAGACCAGCAAAATTCTGACAACAATTTTCACAGGTTTTCCAATCAAGTGTCTCGAACAAACTGCGAATCAAACTTTTATTTATTATGAGTCAAAAAAGTCGTCGAATCTTCGAAAAACTTTTTCAGTTGTACAGAAAACTTAACGAAAGTTTATCGAAGTAAGTAGAGTATTTTTAAAATTACCGACTCTATTCCTGTAATCGCAGTGATCATATTTCAGTTATTTTGTTTATTTATTTATTCACCATGTATATATTCGTGGTGTTTTATTGTACAGTACTAAAAGACTTGGCGGCAATCACAAATTTACATTCAATTAAAAAAATGCATTTAACTTTGTAAACTTTTTTCAACTCCAATTTGTTTCTCTTTTTTAACGAAAAAGAGCTCATTCCACTTTTTCTTCTTTTAACAAAAACAAAACATAGTATGTGTTGCCTACGTGACTTTTTTTATTTGAAAATTTCTTAATTATTCTGTCCTCACTCAATCTGCCATTTCAATCATATTTTCTCTTGTTTTTCATAAGATTTCCCTTATTTTATCAATCTAAATTTTCTTCTTTTCATTTTCACGCTCTCTCCTTTTTTTATATCTATCTGTCTGTTTGGTTTATCTGTTGACCATTTTTTTGCAAATATAAATGGGATAGAACGTGTCAAATGCCAATATATTGAATGTAATGTGTGTTATGTACGCCATTTCTTTTTTTCCAATACTGTACCTGAGATATAGTTACTTAAAGATGGTTTTGTTGATGATGCAGAATATTTATTTTTATTGATATTTGTTTTTTAATACTATATAGCATTATGAAGGAAGTATGTGAAAATACTTCACTGCCATCTACTTAAATATTTAATTAATTCATTCTGGAAAAAATTTATTTAGGAGGTACATACACACTCATTCACCATACTGAATTCCAAATTTAGTCATGTATCGTTCATAGTTTAGTGACATTTATCTGATTGAGAACAACACTTTTCCTATGACTTCAGATTAATTTGCTGATTTCTTTGATTTAACTATGACGGAACAGTTTATTATATTCTTTTTTGAATAATATTTTCACTGTTGTTCTAAATCATATAAATTACATTCCTCAATTGCTTTTTTATAGTAGCAATAATGCAAAAAAGGCTAATTCAATAAAACAAATTGAATAATGACATGTGCCTTTGGTTAAAAGTAGATAAATATAGAAGAAAATTTTCTCCGTAATCAGATCAGAAAAGAAACAAATCAGTATGGATTGACTTCATATTTTAGTCAAATATTTTGTATTAGGAATTTTTCGATAAATATTGACTTTAATGCTACAAAGTTTGACCGACCATTTTGAAGAAAAAAGTATTTTCAAACATCTCTACGAACATTTCCACTTCTTATCTTCTCCAAACTCTTTCATTCCCCAACAATACACAGGGTAATAATAAATGTCGATAGTGCAATTCTTGATACGCCAATAATACCTGTCTTTTAATAAACATATCTTGCAATATTTTTAATTAAATTAAAAATTTATTTATCATAAATTAATTTAAATTTAATTTATATTAATAAATATCGATTTAATGTTAATTAAATTCTTGCAACTTTTACCAATTACGATCAACTTCTTTGGTTCTATTAAATATCTGTCTTTTAATAAACATCTTGCAATATTTTTAATTAAATTAAAAATTTATTTATCTTAAATTAATTTAAATTTAATTTATAGTAATAAATATCGATTTAATGTTAATTAAATTCTCGCAAATTTTACAAATTACGATCAACAGTAATTCCCCATTTATTTGGTTCTATTAAATATAAAATGTTATTCAGGCACGCCCATAATATTAAGATGAATGTTTATATAGTGTGAAGGCCTCTTATGGAATATAATTATTTTTGGGGCATTTTTGTTATTTTAGAGAAAACTGTAATAAATGCAGGAACACCTCAACTTTTTAACGAAATTCTATATAATCTGAATACAAATATAAATACGTAGGTACGGTGATTCACATAAGATTACTACTGCTGGTACACTTTTTTTTCAGTCAAACACACTACATCATTTTATAGTTTTGTTAAATTTCTTTGATAAGGTTACTTCAAAAAACTTAACGTTTATGGCAAACTCGAATAACATAGGGTGAAAATTTGACTTCAATTATGGAGTTGTTTTGTTTTTATCCTTTCTCTGATATCTACAATACTACTAGGAGGTATTTCGCATATTATACTATTAAGGTAACCCGCACTAAAAATCCAAAGATGTGAGATCTGGTGTTCTAGCTAGTCACTGCACTTATATATGTTTGCCAAAACAGGAACAACTTCGTCTCGAAAAATACTCAAATATCTTTTTTCAAACGTCAAAGTTTTTCTATAAAAATCAGACGAATTTTATCATCACTTATGATACCCGCTCATATTGTATTTATTTAGGATATTGAGTGTGTTTCACGCCTCCAATGAGGGTTCTCCGTAAGCAATTTTGCAGATTTGACTCCCCATTATCTATGGACGTTGAATCATCTGAAAATAGAATGGTTCCAAAGCTCATTTCTATTCAGCTTAGTCATCAATCTTTCACAAAATTCTATGTTACGATCGGGATAATCTTCTGTTAGCTCCAGAGTAAAAGTTATTTTATAGGGATGAAGACGCCTTATGATTGACGTCACTTGACGGCTAACTTCATTATGTAGGATCTCTCAGCATTTAACGAATATCTTTTACGAAATGCGGTTGTTGTGTCGATAGTTTTTGTTCCTTCTGGTCGAAACGGTTTCTAAAACAGACATTTTATTTGAACCTGGTATACTAAAGGCTATTTTATTAAGGCGACATCGTTTCTTCCCTTAGCAACAGCAAGCTCTGTTAAAGCTGTCTTACGTTGCTTGTAAGATTCTGATTGGGGCCATTAAGACCTCTTTCATACAGATACGTTCATTTTCGAAACCTCTTCTGAACCAACTTTTTTTGTTTCGTGTTCATTTTCTGGACCAGATCTTTGGGGCATCTCTTTTCATCTCTATGCCTTGCATCTCATGGGCAGGATGGTGTTACACCTCGAAATTGAGAAGACCAGGTTGCAGTACAAATCTCAGCAGAGGATGTGTCAGTTGTGCAACTGTCTGGTGATTTGCAGATTGATCAAGGTATATATTGGAACTTGTGTCAAAGATGAGAACTTTCCTACCCAGTCTGTCCTGCGTTGAGTGAAAGTGGACTTAATTGAGCTAATTTAAGGAGTTTTCAAAATATATAATTATAGAGGATGTCTCTAAAAAAGAGTAAATCGAATCAACCTGTATATTTATATTTTTGTTAGATTATACAATTGTTATATCGTTGAGATGTGGGAGCATATATTAAACTTTTCTTATAAGGCCAAAAGTAGTCCATAAATGGCTTCCACACTATATATATTTATTAAACACGAGAGTTCTGGGAATATTCTTAACATTTTTCTTCAATATGAAGGTCACATTGTAGATTAACGTTGAACGTAATAGCCGTAGCCATTTTTATAATTAAAAATGTGCCAAATTATCAATTCAAAATTAGATAAAACAAGTTTGTGGTAGATCAGTAAATTTTAGACTTAAAATTTAAGTGCAATTACCCTATGTACTAATAAATTTAGAGTCGTATTGCCACCGTCTTTACTTTATTAAGTTCTACCAATATTATATAAGGTACTGTTTACTGTGATTGTTTTATTTTTTTGTACATAACTCGAGAGACTTTTTTTTATTTATGTTGTTATATACGGTGTCCCCCAAATGGGATTAAAAATGTGGATGAAAAGTTTTAGAATATGAAATTATTGCTTGTGTCCTAAACTGCACTCTATAGCTGGAACAACTGCTAAATCATCCTACAAAAATGTTCGAACTCTTTTTAATCTCATAATTTGTTTAGCAGAATTATATTTTAGTGCAAATGATTGATTGTATTATTTTCCTTAATTTTTTTGTGATACATACACATATAAAGAGTGTTAGTAAATAATTGCTACAAACTTTAGGAGGTGATTCTGCATGAAAAAATAATGACAGTTTTCTATATAAATATATGTCTGCAAATGCTTGGTTTTCTGATATACGGGGTGTTGAAATTTTCCTACAAACTGGCGATTTATTTATTGCTCTGAAAACGGTTAAGATATGCAAATAAAATTTGGTGAGTTTGAAGAGGTAGCTATTGCGCATTTTTTGACATACAATTAAACATTTTATCCCCCTTTTATTATATTATATACCTTTTATAAAGGATTTTAAATAAAACAAAATTTAAACATTTTATATTTATTGTAATGGTCTCAATTTTTTTAAAGAAAAACTGATACGCACCACATATTTTAAATTAAAAATAATTTTTGAATTTCTCGTTTAATTTGTGACAAACAATCTCTGCTAAGCCTTTTTCAGGTAAGTTTTTAATTTTACCAGTGTAGATTTGAAATTCTGAAACAAAACTAGATTCATTAGCACGAATCCAAACTTTGTAGCCCCGTTTTACAGACTTCTTGGGCATATACTGGCGTAAAATGCTTCTACCTTTGAATCTAATCATTGGCTCATCTATTGACTGACATTTACTTGGCTTGTAATATCGAATGAAATTGTCAGATAACTTATCGAGCATTGGTCGCATTTTATATAGTTTGTCGTAGCCAACTTCACCTTTCTTCGATTCAAGACTGTTATATTTATATGAATATGTCCTCACGTAGATCTGTCCTCGAAGACCAACACTCCTTGTAGCTTGGTAAATGTTTTATTCCCATCAGAATGTTTATCCCCAAGAAACACTTCATTTCTTCACGATTAGTGGGAGTAAATTTGTTGGCATTTCCTTGGTTCAT